TTTACCACCCAAGCGAAGTCACCATGGTTGTGAATACTCTGAATTGAAAGGAGTATTGCCAATTATGGTTGGATCAGTTTTTGCAAATATCGTCATAGTTTTGAAGGCAAGGAAGGAGTGTAGCGCATTTCAGTAGAGGTTGATCATAAGCATTTAAGAGTAAATTCATTTATGGGGAACACTTGTGGAATTGAGCCGTTGAGGTCGTACGCTACTCTTAAGATAGTATGAGTCACCTAAGGTTAATGGAGGCGACCGAGATCATATTGTTGGAAATTGCTCCAACAATGTTCAATGTTCACTCCTGGTTGTGGAGTAATGAATCGAAATGGAGATTAGCATTGTGAAAATCGACTTGGTAGTCTTGGCAAGAGGTTATCGGGTTCTGGTTGGAGTTTGATATATGCTAAAGACACTCCCTTGAAGGGGAGGGGAGTCGGTTATTTTGCAAAATGCGATCACTTGTGGTTGTATCCTTAGATTGTTATCCTCTTTGATATGGGTGGATGACAAGCCATCTATTGGTCTTATGCTCAAGATTGGATGGCATTTGGAACCGTCCCATGTGCCCTTTGGTTCAAGTGCTTGCGGGAAGAAGAATGTATGATATCGATGTCGAGAGAACTCATGGATCGAAGTTGTTTGATTCGGAAAGGACCGAACTATTGAGAATCAAGTAATCATTATGGCATACAAGTGTTTTATCGGTGTTAGATTTCGAGGCGATTTTGAGGTTCATTTATGTTTTATGGTGATCGTTTACCCATTAAGATGGGAATCAAATAAGGTTTTATGTTTTTATCATAGTGGGTCTATCAATGATCAAATCGGGTGCAAAAAATGGAAGAAATAGCGAAATTTAAGAGTCCTGCGACCGCGGGTCGCCCAGGGCACGTAAGTCACCGAGGGCGTGTAAGTTACCGAGGGTGCGTAAGTCACCGAGGTCGCAGGAAGCGTGCAAGGGATGTTAAATTTGACTTTTCCACTTTTTCTTCACCTACCTTTTCTTCCACCTTTCCCTTGCTAGATTTGGGTGTTTATGAAGCTTTTGGTCCGATTTTAGGAGCCTTTGGAAGCATCTCTTGGTGATTTAAGCGCTACCAAGTTGAAGGTAAAGACCTCTCTTCCCCAACCAGAAGCTAGGCTTTAAGTGTTCTTCATCTGTTCTTCATCCCCTTTCCATTTCTTCCCGTTTTGGTTTAACTTCGGGAGTGTTTGTGGTAGAAGGAACTTTGTGGAAGCTTTGGAGCTAAGATTTGAAAAGCTTGCTAAGAGATCTCAAGTCTTCACCATAGGAAGCTTAAGATTTGGAGTAAAACCTAGATTTAGCATAAATCTAGCAAGGTGAATTCAAGTTGCTTTGTGAAAACTTTGTGCATGCCAAAGATGTATATTTTTGTCTCCTAAAGATGTTCTCTTGATATTAATCAAATGCATTGATTATTTCATGAGTTTCGCATTTATGGTATATTTGGGTTATAAATCTTGTGAAATGCCCATATTTGGGATTTTTGGACATTTTGTCAATATAAACCACAAAGTGTAGGAGATTTTGATGATTTATTCCTCTTTCGGAAACTACTTGATGTTAATTTCACATTTAGTGTATTTGGATTTATGAACCGTTTTGGGGGGAAATGTATATTATTGTTTTATCACACATTTTGGAAATGTAAATACTATAATATCATTTGAAACATGATTTGTCTCAACCAATGACGGGTTTTGAGTTAATCGTACTTTTGGAGCATGTGTTTGCATAAACGTTGGTTAAATATGTTCTATTGTTTATATTGTTGCACTTTTGGCTTGGTTTTGAGTCAAATAAATCTTAGGGACATTTGTCCGATTTGATTTGCTTTATTCGGGCTTTTGGGTTATTTGTAGTTATAGCATATTTATTTGTAAGTTGTATGCTTTGAGCGTGTTGGTCATTCAATTGGGGTCATGTAATATAGATTGTAATGCAATGGATCCATAGGCATAGGAGTCGATCTTTATTGGTTTAAAATGGGAAGGTCATTCCCGTGTTTTGGTCAGGAATACGCATTGGGCCATCGGGGCATCATGGTGCGGGCTCTCGAAGTCAAACATCTGCCATTGACCATGTGTAATTTCTGAGTCGGTTTTAGTGGGATGGTTATTCCCATATTGTAGCTAGAAATAGACATTAGGTCATTAGGGGCATCGTGTTATAGGCTTATAGAGTCGAACCACGACCATTTGACTATATGGTGTATTTTTTTAGTGAACAAGCATATCTCTAATCATCAGGGGTCCTAATGCAAGATATAGATCAAGGGTGGTTGAACTTGATGACTATTGATCCGTAGTGGGATCATTAACGTTGACATGTGGCTACTTTTGTGTTCGCCACATCTGACGGATACGAGTCTCCCCCATCACTGAAAAGTGTTATTTTGGATAGTGTATTATCCATGTTTTTGGTGTTGTTTTAGGTATGGAGTGTCTCCATAATTTATTGTTTTGGTATCTTGGAACTTATTCATGTTCTGGGTGTTTTGGATAATAGAGTCTTATCCACGTTCTTAGTATTTGAACGTTTAATCTCATTCATGTTTTGGGTGAGTATTGGCTTTGGTTTCATGATAAAGGGGTGTTTTGATAGATGAGTTTTCATCACGAAAATGGTTGGTTTTTGAAAGAATGTTGCTTTTATACTAAAAATACATTTCAAACTTTGGAAATTGTGATTTAAATAACATCTTCTCAGTTTTATCGTTTTTATATTTAAGATAAAAACTGGTTGAACTCACTAGGCGTTGAGCCCAACCCTTTTTATTTGTCGACATGTGAATCAGGTCCTTGTTGGGGAATGTTACTAGTGTGATGAGTTGAATGCTAGGTAGATGCACGAGAAGAATTTAGCTACTCGGGGGCGTCTTTTGTATCTTTGGAATAGCGGTTGTATTAGGTTTTAGTAAACCCGACCTTGAGCTAGACTTTATGTAAGGTTTGGTTTGCCACTTTATTGATGTTGAATCTAGAATTGCCATTTGAGGTCATCAAGTATTGATTTATAGAAAGGAATTTATCCTTTATGTGATATATTACTGAAAATTTCAATTCAGTCGCTCTCTCCAGATTTGAGGTTATTACAATAACAAGTCATGGGACTTGGTACCACCGTCATGTTGACAAAATGTCATCAAATATACATTATTTTTAGACCAAATAGAACCCTAATGGTATTATCAAACGTCACAAAACCAGCTCTGTGACCAAAGGGTTTCACCAATGAGTTGGCTTAGACTATAATGGAGCCTTTTCTCCAAGTCCAACTATTGTTTCTCTCAATTTATCTATTGCAATCAATCAAACTTGCCTATTTGAAAAGTAGATATCAACTATGCCTTCACATGGATACCTTTATGTACATGCTAAATATGTGTGCAAACTATAAAATATCTCTATGACCTTAAACAAGCATTTGTTGCATATCAGAAATAGTTGCAACAACTAGGAGTGTTCATCGGTTGAAATCCAATAGGTTTAGGTGGATTGAATCCAATCATCTATTGGATGTTGGATTTTGTCATGTCATCGATACAATCCGATGGCAAACTCCCATTCATTATATAGAGAAGAGGACCAAGATTTTGTGATTCCCTGCCGAACTTATTCAAAGCATTGGACATCCGATTCGATCCAAATCCAATGGATGATTGGTTCCATCCATTGGATGTTACTATTGGTTATCCATTGGATCGGATTGGATTCGTCCAATCTTTTGATCCAATACTCAACCAATTAATCCACCATTTTAACCAATTATTCGTATATTTTTTAAGTTATTAAAAAAACAATGTGTATATATATCAACCCAAAAACAATATCGTAAAATGTTAATAATTCTATATAGTTATTAGATGGATATTAGTTGGATGGTTATTAGATGGATATTAGTTGGATGGGAATTGGATGGTCATCGGATTGGATCAGTTCGGTTTTATTAGATGTTGGACTGCCATCCAAGAACCGACCAATCCGATTTGGATGTTGAAATTTTGGATCCGATCCGATCCAATTACAATTGGATATCCGATTATGGTCAGTCAGTTCTAATTGGATGGTTGGCTTAAATTGGATCTGATGACTTTCTGCACACCCCTAAGTTGCGTCTATTCCTTCTCACCTCCGATTTCAAGAACCCAATAGTCGACTCCTTATTCATTCTTCACACACAAACCTCCCTAGCCACATGTTTTCAGTAAAGGACCTAAGTCCATCGTCCTACTTTCTTGGAGGCATTTTAACTCAATAAATATATTTGGTTTCCTTCATGTGTACAACATGGATGTAGCAAAACCCCATTGTCACGCCCTTGCAACCTAACCGCCTTTCACTTCAACATGAACAATGCTTGTCAATCCCACAATCTTCTCGGGGAATGCTTGGGAGTCTACAATATCTCAGCATCACAAGGCCTAATGTTATATATCATCTCCATAAGCTATCACAATATATGCAATATCTCAGAACTACTCATTGACATTCCTAAAACGTCTTCAATATCTAAATGACACATTACAATGGGACTTCTCTCCATCAAGATTATCCTATACTTATTCATGCATTCTCTGATGCAGACGGGGATCGCCACACATACGACTAATTTCAACTAGTGGCTACATTGTCTATTTATAGCATAACTAGATAAAGGCATTGCAAGAAATCCATTGGAAGTTTAAATTTCCTTAAAACCAACCAATCCCGTGATGCCACACAAAGTAGGGCCTACGGAAGGTAGGATGTACATATACCTTATCATTACCCCAAGGAGTAGAAAGGCTGTTCAATCCCTTCTTGTGGTTGATTTGGTCCAAGAGACTTGTATGAAACCCATCTAGAGCTTGCTTGTCCAATGAAGCTATTGGCTATTGTTGGTGCTTGTGGTGTGTGTGCTAGATCTAGATGCAAGCCGGTTATATTTAGTTCGCATTATTGATCTAATTTTAGATAAATAACAACCTGCTTACCTTTATCTAAATTCATAAAAGAATGCTGCCACATGAAGATGCTTTAAAATGAGGCTGTTGCAGGTCTTCAAAAACCTTTTTCCCATCATCTCTACGGTTGAGAAACAAGCCTCGTGATCATGGTACCAAACAAGATGGCATCCATATTGGTTCAGCTGCAAAAAGTAAAATACATGCATATACAACCAGATCATCAACCAAATTTAAATTTTAATTGTGTTCCTCATAGACATTCCCAATCTAGAAATACATTGGTTTCAATTTTGATATTTTTTAAACAAACTAAACATATAAGATTAAGATTTAAGAAATAATCAAAATTGCCTACCTCTTATACTCGACATTTCTGGACCATTTGAATTCAGCTAGTTGTCTGTCTCCAGAAGCAAGGGTTAATTGGCAATGGAGGCAATGATATTGCTTACTGGACTTCCTTCTTGCTCGTACGATGCCATCTATCTCTGTCCAACTATAAGAATCACAAAAAGCAAGAAATGTAGATTTTTGAGTCTATCCAAAAATGTATTTTGTCAAACAGAGGGAAATAACAGGCAGTTGGATGGATGGAAGTAGATTTTTAAGTCTATCCAAGTAAATCCCGACTTGTTGCCTATATGTTGGAGGTAACCCTTCTTTGGTGTTTCTTTCTACTTCTTAGCTAATCCAGTTTGGTCCTGTTTCTCTCGGTGTTTTTTTCCTTCATGAAATATGTTGCCTTTCAAAAAACACCCCGAACGTTGTCTATGTGTGCTTCTTTGTTCCTCACAATATTTTTGAACATTCTTTTGGTTGAACCCCAACATAGAAGCTACTTTATCAACCCCAAGCATAGGCTGAACTGTATTTCTAACTTTTCATGAATTGTGCATGATTGTAAAATGAATTTTTATTGGTGCTAATAAAAGAGGATTGTTATTATTTCATCTCAACAATTACATACTATTAAAACCATGATGCTAAATAAGGCTAAGAGTAATCAAAAAATAACTTCTGTTGAATAAAAGATTTACAATAGCATAGCCAACACAAAATCATTTTAAAGACGAACGAACACCATTAAACAAGAGATGGATAAAGTAAATCATTGGATGAAATGGAAAACCCTCATGTATGTTGTTGTAATTTTGTGCTCCCTTATCAATGTAGAAGCAATCAAAGTCTTCACTTTTATTAATTATGTTCCTTAAATAAAGCTTGAATTCTTAATATTTTTATGTTTTTTGAAAAATGATTAACTGAGCCTATTGAATTTTATCCTTTCTATAATTCATTCATTATTAAATTTGCAGTAACTTCCTTTTAAACAAGAAATGAATCTACTCCAAGATTTATAATACATCATTATGGAACAAGAGACATTATTAGTTATGGAAGGAAAGAGAATAATATAAGTATATAGTGTAGAACATACAATGCATAAACCATTCTGAAGGGAGTGGAAGAACAAATGCAATCCCTACATATCGAACTAGATTGCTTAGCATAATCTTGATATTCATCACGCAAGCAGGTGTTTTAGTGTCACCAGGAACCAATAGATACGATTCTCTCCTCTCGATTTCCTCTAACCAAGAGACGGCGCCTATTCCCTAATATGTGGGGTGGGTCCCAAATCGAACACCCTCTGCTACCTTATGTTAAAGCACGTACAAAATCAACAACCATTAAAAAAACCAAAGCCACACAGAAGTAGGGGATGGGGAGGGTAGAATGTATGCATATGTTACCACTACCCCTATGGGACGAAGATGTTCCTGTGTAGTCTTGCAAAACAAAAATTAGCAGAAATTTAATAAACTTTGTCTCATATTCGGGTGTTAAAATTGGAACTGCAAAGGTTTTCTATTTTCATTTTTAAAAAAGAACATGGACTTGACAAATAAATGACACTCCATAAAAATCTTTATTTTGTCTCCCTTGTTGGACTGTTAAATTAAATTCACTTTAGTGAAGTCATTGTGGGTTAAACATGCTCATTCTCTCAATCTTGCATGTGTAATTTATGTTGTCTCTCATATCATAAGTCTCTCGTATTTTTGTTGATAGATTTTTTTTATATTTGGGTCTAGTTGGCAATTGATCGCTTATAAAATTTTAAAATATGACATGAGATTTAATGAATTCTAAGATTTATTACTAATTTAGAACCGACGGTCGGGACCGGTCTCGGTCTTTTTGCCCATCTTTTGATGAAACACGTTAAAATGCTTTAATTCACATACCCTCATTTTTGTTTAACCAAAGAAATAGCTACAACATGCAAGAAGAAAACACCGGAAACTGAATCTTCATCTTATTAGGCCAGATGAATTGCTCTTGTATGAAACCTCCAATTGCTTCTTTGTCCATTTTGGTGGATATTTTTTCAAATCCTCATTGGAACTTATTCAAATTCGGGCTGCCACATTTGTATATAATTTTCTAGATTTGGTCAAACACTTTCGCTCACTCTGAAAATACTACCATTTATACCAAAACACATATTTATCCGAACTGTCCCCTTAAACCCGTAGTCAAAGCGTGGCTTTTCTAAACTAAACATATAAACCAACAGTTCAGCACTAATCATGGTTGGTCACACTGACACAAACTTTAAAAGTTTATCTTCAAAATATGACCATCTCTTAATTGGTGTTAAAGTGTTGCTTTCTTTTTTCAGTTTGTCAAATAAAAGTATTTGACCAATTGAGAAGACAAAACAATATTTTGGCTTATGGGTTTAAAATGGATAGTTTCAGTTAAAAATGTGTTTGGGCACAGATGGTATTATTCCAAAGTAGGCGAAAGTGAATGACTCTGTCACAAAGCTGCAAACCTACAAATCCGGTAGCCCAGTTTCGGAACAACGTAAATGAGGCTTTGAAGAAAGATACACCATCATGGACAAAGAAACAATTGGAGGCTTCCATTACAAACGAGAGTATATGACTCAAAAAAGAGTAAAATGACAAAGAAAATTTCACTATGAGGAGTTCTCTTCTTGCAATCAAAAATTCCTTAAATCTCATGCTATACTTGAAAATTTTACAAGCCATCAAATTTTCACTCGAAGACCCAAATATTAATTTTAAGAATTAGATGAGCCTTTGTGCAATCAAGGCAAAGCAGACTTGCAATAATTAGAGACGACATGAATTACATATCCAACATTGAGAGATCGAACATGTTTAACCCACAATGACTTTCCAAAAGTGAAACTATTCAACAGTCCAACAAAAGAGCCAATATAAAGTTCCTTATGGATTGGCATTTATTTGTGAAGTCCAAATTAATTTTTAATAACACAGGGAGCTTATGCAAAATCCACCAAGTCATGAATTTAACGCTTATTTCCCCCAAATCTAAATCAAAATCAAGTTTACTCCAATTCTCTGCAATCAAAATCAAAATCAAAAGGTGCATCAACGCACGAATCCCAAAATTTTCTAATAACAAGATTGGTATTTATTCAACGACACAAACAAATGAAAGTCAAATTTGACGTAATCAGCAGCTTCCGAGAATCAAAACAACATACATGATTGATGAATGGTATGATCCTTGATTAAAGAAACAAGCTAGACAAAATAATATTAGAAGATAACTTAAGGCCAGATTACTATGTTGATTAGAATCAGCAAAAGAGACCTAGAGATCCAACGTTGGACGTTTCTAGTGTTACTGTTAGACTAGCAAAAGAGCAGCCATTAGTAACATCAATTATGAGTGCTCACATGTGTAAGATACCCTTTTTCGACAATAAGCACTTATTGGGTGTGTGAAACCTCTTCTTTTTTTTTCCTTTTAAATTCCGAATCCTTCAAATAAACCGAGGCGACGTTTGGTTTGTAGCAAAGGAATTGGAATCTGAAGGATTTAGATATATGTTGACAGAAGACTGGCTTTCAATTGCCTATTAGGCCGACGTGAATATGTACGAATGCATATAGAATGAATGACAGCGAGTTTCCTACATGTCCACTAAAGTAGTATGCCTAATCCGGGTATCATTAGATCAAGTAAATGCTTTCACCTCTAAAGGCAAGTTAAATTCCTTTTATATCCAGCATAACCCCCCCCCCTCCCCTTTTCCAACATATACACATGTGCAATAGCATTTCAACCAGTTTCCTTTTTGATGAAACTTTAAAAAAGAAGCAATCTGGTAATAGATTCAGTCATATACTCCCTTACAAAGAGCTCCACCAATCAGGTATGGAACTAAAGATATAAGCTTGAATTCAATTAGAGCGTAATAAAACAAGAAAATTAGATCATTTCTTTTGATACAATAATCAATCATCAGACTTCATAAACACGATAGATCGATACCTTTGAGCCGTATATATGGGCAAAAAGAGATCGAGGTGTTAATCTGAAAAGGGGGGTTTAGATCTGTACCTGCGATTTTGAGTTGACGGAGACCGAGATGCAAGGTGGATGTGGACAGGAAAAGGGAGAGACCGGCGGTGCAGCAGCGGTGGCTGGCGACGGCGGTGCGCAAATCGGGCCATGGATCGGAGAGGATTAGGGATCAAGCATAAATTTAGGGCTTTGGGTAAACTACAATTTATTTTGAGGCTATGCATCTATAGCCGTTCCATGCAGCTGCTCCTTACTATTTTATTTTGAGTAAACTACAATTTTGGTCCTTGTAGTTTAACAAAACTATGAAGAAACTTTTTTGTGCTGAAATAATTACAAAAATAGTCACTACAATTTACATTTTTACTTTGAAAATGGTCCCTAACGTTATCTCTGTTAAACCACTCCGACAACCCTCCTCGTTCACTACGTCCCCGACCTCCTCTTCTTCGATCTTCTTCTTCCTCACAACTAAATCCACGTCGTTGTACCGCCATCACTCTCCCGATTGTTCCCATCACCAAACACCATCACCGACCCTAAACACCACCACTCTCTAGACCGGTCCCGTCATCAAAGACCACCACCCTCACCATTCCTCGCCACCCTAAACGTTCCCCTGCACACTGTTTTTGAAATAGATTTTAGTAACTTCAGCTTTGAAACCCTATTTTTTGGCAATATCGACAATTACGAATGTAGTTGATAGTAGTATCTATGCGATGTATTCTTTAGGAAAAGAATTTAATCGTCTTATGTAGTTAAGTATCTTAATGGGAGTGTAACTGTTAATTATTAAGCATGTAATTGTTAATCACTTAAATTGTCATCTAGTTTATCAACTAAACTTTCACCAAACAATACTAGCCAACAACTAGGGTTGTATATGAACTGAACGTTCAGCGAATTTTTCGTGAATCGTACGACGGAAAGTTCGTTTATTTAATAAATGAACGAACACGAATAATTTTTTTTGTTCGTTTAGTTAAACGAATGAACATGAACAAGAGTCTCGTTTGTTCATTTATATTCGTGAACGTTCGTTCATTTACATTCATTCGTTTATGTTCATTTATATATTAGATTTAATATATATATATATATATATAATCATTTATTTATTTAGTTTGAATTTAAATAATGTTTATTAACTTTTTAGAATTTAGATTTAAATTTTATCATCATTTTGTCTTATTTGAAATTTTTACCTTTTCGCTTTTCCCCCAAACCTTAGCCTCCAAATGAAACCTTCTACAATTCGTGAAGGGTTGTAGAAGGTTGTGAATGTGAACCAATTGGTGTGTAATTGTTAATTGAATGACAAGCAATTGTGTAGGACATAATTGTTGCTATGAATGATGTTGCTGGTGTGTAGATCAAATTGTTGCTATCAATGATGTTGCTGGTGTGAATGCTTGATCTACGTTATAAGTTCGGCTTAATGATTAAGACAAAGGAACGATGTTCATCGTGTTTGCCTTTGATTCATAGAAAAAAGACAGACTTGTGAATATGTTTCAAACGAATGGTGTTGCATTAACACTTCTCCCTAACTCAGAGCCGTCGCGCACGCCCAGGGCCAAAAGTATCAGGGGCCCAAAATTTTCTATTAAAATACAAGAGTAGTCTAAAAGAATTTAATAAATTAAAGAAACCCAAAATATTGTAGCATATAATAAGAGGAAAAAGAATTTAGTAGATAATAAGAGCCCAAAAATATATCAACTAATTACATTGGAGAAGAAAATAAAAAATAATAATTGGTAATTCATTATATGTTATTGTTTATTGCCTCTCTAATTTTTTCTTTATCTCCAACAAGGTCTAATGATATTGGCTATTGCTATCTTTATGTGTTTGACTGTCGTGCTTCAACAATTCAACGTTAAGATCATGTGTTTGTTATTGCTATATATTTTTGTTGAATATTTTTATCAGTTTCTGCTTCTATCGACTATTGTTATTTGGTTATGTCGTTCTAATTGTTTTTGTTGACTATTGTTATCTATTTTTGCTTCTACATAAAATATTTTACTATTATTTGACGATAAATCTATTGTTCTTATAATTTATGACGTGTTTCATGGTTTTGTGATTAATCAATAATTTTTTTTCCACAAGATGTATTTAGTAATGTCTCTTGTATATGTCATGTTACAAAACTTTTAATCTAACATCTTATTTTAGTTGAACAAAAAAAAAATAGAATTTAAATGTTTTTATTAATTGTTTGACTTATGTATCTTTCATTGGGATTCCATCACAACACAAGATTCTATTTAAGTGCCTAAATAATAATTTGTTGAGCTTGCATGTTATATCGTTAATTCATTATTTATTCTTATTGTATCTTAATGGATCATTTTTTATTTCATATTTTTATTGATCCTCATTTGTCTACTTGTTTTGAAAACTTTGATAGTTTTATTTATTATTGATATCTCATTGGCCCTCACAATTACTTCGTTCAAACAAATTCTCTTTTTATATCAAAATAACACATACTTCTTGTTATGAACTAAAAAAATTATTACTTCTTATAAAAATTTATCAACCACAGTTTATATACTCTTGGTTTCAAATAACCTACTAAGAAATACGTAAATTTAAATACTCTCTTATATATTTATAATAAAAATAAATAAGATTTATGTTCTCAGTAAATTATTAGCATTTCTTGTACTCAATTTTATACTAATGAAAAACATTTATTGAATTTTTTCCGTACTTATTGAAGGTCACTATAAGAAAAATGAGCTTTGACGATGCGTCTTTTAGCGATGACATGTTTCCACCACAAATTATAACAACGGCATGTTGTTGTTATATACTCTTTCTGATGATAAATGGATTTTTAACGACAACAAAAGTCGTTGCTAAAAACTTTGTTTCTTGCGGTGGGCCCTGTTTTTACGTTCTCCCAAGGCCTGTAAAATGTCAGGAACGGGCCTGCGCTAACTACATACAATTTGATCGATAAAAAAGCGCCTATCACATCGATAGGGGAAAGGACCAGATTCGCGTGTCCATTTAACAATCCAAGTCTAGACAACGCTCGAGGAAGTGAAACCGGGCTTGTTGGTATTGGTGTTAAACGAAAACAAAAGTTGATCAAGATTCATGCTTTCACTTATATGATAAACTAGCATTAGAAATCTGAATCGCAGATGTTCGTCTTCCCATATGGATACTATAATGTAGAATCAACGTAAATCTACTTCAATCACGCGATTTCAATATCCCACCAACGACATCCATAATCCCACATTAATAACGAAGACAACAAATAGTAGCTCGATATACATATATATTACAACCACCAAAACATATCTAATTAACGTACCAACAAAATATTCGAAAGTCTGAGTTCAACAATCTCGACATAACTAATTCAAGACATTCCATAAATTCGTTCCGAATTTGTTTCCTTGTTGAACCAAAAGAGAAGTGTACATGTGCAAAAAATCTGCAACCATATGCAAGAACACAAGACAGAAACTTCATCTCAATTAGTCTGCACAGATGCATTACCCTTGTACACATTTTTTAGTAATGGAATCCTCCAATTGCATCTTTGAACATTCTAAAGGATTTTATTGTTTACTCGGTTTTGAATTCGGGCTCCCAAAATTGTCAGCAGTTTTCTCACTGGATCAGGCACCTTTGCCCACACTAGAATACTAGCCAGAGTGCGCAAAGGTGCTTGACCCAGTCAGAAAGCTGCCGACAAACGTGGGAGCCAAGATTCAGAATCGTGTATATGGTTGCAAATATTTTGGTTAAACAGAAATGAGATTATATGTAGTAAATATAGAGGGGCAGGTTCAAATGAAAGCTGATTTCCGATTGTGAACGAGGAGACAAATAAGAGCACGGCACGTGTTTCATCGTGAATTCATCAGTGCTTTTGTGTCTCCCAAACAAGTTGAGTCAAATTCCTGCAATCAGAATCAAAAAAGTGCATCAGTGCATAAACCCTAGACCCTCTAATTATAACAAGACGATATTCACAATTGACAACATGAAATGGCAGGCTAAAGATAAGCTTGGATTCAATTAGGGTTTACACAAACAATAAAACTAGAAAATAAAGAACGTTGCTTTTGCTGCAATAATCAGAATTAATCGATAGCTTTGAGTGGGTTTGGATGGAGGTTTTAATCTGTACCTGCAAGTTGAGTTTTGCCGGACAGGGAGGGAGAGTGACCGGTGGCGTAGCATCCGTGGCCGGCGACGGCGGTTGGAGACCAACCGGCCATGGAGGGTATTAGAGATTAGGGTTTTTTGTGGTTAGGATAGCACCCAGCGATGCTTATATATATAGTCGTTCCAATGCAGCGGTTCCAACTATTTTATTTTTGATGATTACAGATTTGGTCCCTGTGGTTTTAAGTTTGTCTCAGTTTTGGTCCCTACATTTTTTTATTGAAAATAAAAACTTTGTGGTGTGATTAATATTAATTGTTATTTGTTATCTATAATAAATTATAAACCATTTCATAAAAACTCTTAAAAACCATTGTTTATGCATTAAGTATTGTTTATTGATGCATATTATTTAGAATTCAAGATTACAAATAAATTATGTATAGTACAAACTTATTAAAGCTCCATGTTTGAATTCGTATAACTAACTACAGATAAACATAATTAAGTATTGGATATGTATCTCACTTTAAATGTAAAAAATCTAAAATATATTTATGATAATTATTGAATTCTAACAAAATATTTTTCAATTATAATTTTGATTAATATTAATTTTTATCTATTACTATTAATTATAAATAAATAATAA